AGAAGTGGAGGTATGGATCTCATGCTACATATATTCTATTTACTGGAAAGAAATAGCCCTTCTCACACATTCACATACCGGACTTCGTGTTTGCATAGCCTCTTGTTGAGTCGGGAACTCATTTCTTCTGAGCCTCGTCCCTGTGAGCATCTTGACATGGTTGAGTTTCTGGGCCAACATTGCTGAGGACCTGGACCCTGAAGAGCACCTTGGGACACTCTGCCTGGGAAGCCAGCTGCCTGCCCTCAAATATATATACACGTGTGTGTGTGTGTGTGTGTGTGTGTGTGTATATGTATATATATATAAAAAATGGTTCTTAAATCCAGCTTTGGTAAGGTATATTAGAGCACATTTCTTTTTCATCTTGTCCCTAGCTTCTTAAGTGTAACTACAAATTAGCCCCAACAAATGAGGCATATGGTCTATTTATAAGACATATTTGATTCTCTTGTGTGATGGGCAGTCTCGGTTTTAGTCTAAGCAGATTTCAGACATATCCAGTGATGTATGAACTGGTGGGATGGAATCAGAAAAAGTCTATTTGTTTAGTGCTGAGGAGCTTCCTGAGGAGGAACTTAGGTTGAGGGAACAGTGATCCAGGTACAGAGAGTCTGGGGAGACAATGAAATCTTAGCATCTTAAGGGGGAAATTCTGAGAACATCGTGGTGTCTGTCTCTTGTGTTTGTCTCCCTCTTGCATTTGTCTCCCTCTCTTGAGCTTGCCAGACTTATCTCAAGGAAAGCCAGACTGAGGTCTTTAAGTCAAAACTGAAAAAATAGTTTCATTAAAATCTGCTTTAAACACTGGGACTCAAGAAATTCTCATGGAGGAGAAACATTCTTTCTCACTTTACAAGAAACATGAGAGTCTTGACACTGCTGGGTTTCCAGTGACTTGGTGGAGGAGCTGGTAGGAGAGTGGGGGCACGCAGAGAAGTCAGGTGGCAGGGTCCCCCAGGAGGGCTGGAGGCTGAGCAGGGACATGCTGTTCCTGGTAGACACAGAGTGGGAGGGAGAAGAACCACACCGCCCTATGAGAGCATACTTGTACCCAGCTACGTGAGATACCCCTTGAGGGCTACAGGACATTGGAAGGGCATTTTGCAAGAGCTGAGACCCTTCATGACAGGTTGGCACAGGAATAAGTGGAACTTGGGTGTTATAAAGGCAATTATATTTCTACCCAAATATGCCCACCTGAGAGGTAGCATAGCACTGCGCCAAACTCTGGTAGAAGGTTGCTGAGGTATGAAGTCCTGCTCCACCAGTTTACAAATGATCTGGCTGGAGACTATTACTGAACATTTCCAGGTCTTGGTTTCTCCATCTTTAAAATGGGTATGATGATGACGATGATTCTTTCTTCTTAGGGTCATACGATGATTTTATTAGTTAATTCATATGAAACATTTCGAATGAAGCCTAGCATATAATGAATTATATATTAATGCTATTATTAATTTTATATAAGTTTTGATTTAAAAATGAGTTGTAGAGTACCCATAACAGTAATTATCACTTAATGTATGTTAGTTGCCATTCTTTCATGATGAACAAGCAAGTACTACATACTTTAAATTATTAAAAATGACAGACATTTGTTGTTTAATAGATTTTTAAAATTATTAAAAACAACAGAGAAAAAGAAGCATCATCATTCTCACAAATGAATTTGTCTGTACTGAGCCTGATCCCAATCTATAAAGTATCTGCAGGAAGAAAGGAAATCAAAATCCTGAAACTATGAAAGAAGGACCCTTTCCCTTACTTCATATCAGAGAGTGGAACATTTCCAAAAATTCACAGAAAGCTTTTTTTAGAACAGACCATTCAATTCTGAGAAGAAGGTTCTTAAAATTGTCTATAGTGTGTCCCTGAGCATCCTGAAGATTTTAAATAAGTTGTCACAGCAGCTCCACCCAGAGGCTGTTTCATCAAACCACAAAGTGACACTCCCAGCCCCCAAGTGTCCTGTGGAGAGCAGAAAGATGGCGGCTGGAGTGCTCACCCAGCGGGAATCGTTGCCCGCATCTGCTACGCTGTTTAGAATTTCTGGAGAGAAACACAGCATACTCCTGGCATGCTTCTGATGCAAAGGTGGGGATTTTAAGCTGCTGTAGCTTGTTAGACTTCTTTCTACCTTAAAGGCAAGGAATCTCTGTTAAGGTCATAAAGATCCCCCCTCCGCCCCCGAAAAAAAAAGAATATATTTTCAGGGGATATATTTTAGGGCATTTTATTCATACAGATGAAAAGAAAGGTGATTCCACCATGTGGCCTAAAAGGTATGTGATATTTCTGTGCAAATTGTCAAAAAATATGATGTTACCCAAAACATTATTTGTAAGAAGCGATGGCTGTGGGAAGAATAATAATAATAAAACCTAAGACATAATTTTGAGAAAATTGAAGGCTAAGGCTGAGAAATAAATTGTTACTGGGATTATGCTAGTGTATCGGAACTGCCTCTATGACCCTATGACTCCTGAAACCTGAGAGCTTCAGGCAACAGAGGCCAGAGACTCAGAACAACACTTGGGGACCTTTCTTTATGAAAGTGAAATCTACTTCCAGGGAGCCTCTTTCTCACCTCCTATTCACTCTCCATCTTTAGCAATCAGACCGTGGAATTCCGACTCACTGAGGTTACCTAAAACATCCCAATGGCCAAATCCAAAGGCCTCTTTTCCCACTGTTATATTACTAGATTCTGTCCAGCATTTTTCATTATTGATGCCTCTCTCCCCTGTCTTTGCTTGGGCTGCTATAACAAATATACCATTGACTTGTTGGTTTAAACAAGAAATTTATTTCGCAAAGTTCTGGAGACTGCCAAGTCCAAGATCAAGGTATTGGCAGATCCAGTGTCTGGCGAGGGCCCCCTTCCTGGTTTGAAGATGTCTGTCTTCTTGTTTTATCCTCCCATGGGGGAGAGCAGAAAGAGAGGAAGCACGCTCTCGTGCATCTCTTCTTATAAAAGAACTAATCCCATCCATGAGGGCTCCACCCTCAGAACCTAATTATCTCCCTAAGGACCCACTCCAAATATCATCACATTGGAGATCAAGCTTCAACACATGAATTTGGTAGGGGTACAACCATTCAGTCCACAGCAAAACCTAATCTCTTTCCCCACAGCTGCCATGTCTGTCCTGGTTCTCCTCCTCCCCTTATGCCAGGCTCCTTTCAGCCTCTTTCTTTGGTTCTTCTGTCTTCCCTTTTCTCTTTTTCCTCTAAAAATAGGTTCTTTTGGGTTGCAACTCTCACCTTTATCTGCTACTTCCCAGACTACCCCATCCCAGGCTTGATTCTTAATTCCTGGACATCTGCAGCTGGATATTCCACAGGTAAATTGACAGGCACACACTAAATTCATCTTCAACCTCTCACACCCTCCTCAAATGTGCTACTGCTATGATAGTTCTCTTTTTTGGTCTTTGGAAATACTGTGCTTTGCAATGACTTTACTGAATGTACCCCCTGGTGGCCAAGAGAAGGAATCACTGCAGCCACACTTCACAAAAATTTTTCTACCCGGGGCTTCCATGCATTATGAGGTCATTGTCATAGAAGCCAGAACAAAAAGAGTCCAACTGCTTTTATCCCTTCTCGGGAAAAGGAATTTTCATTCTCCACTCTCTCTATTATTCTGTGTCCTATGTGTCAGAAAATTTATAAAAATAAAAATAAAAAATAAAGGGCTTGACTTTTCTCCTGATAAAGTACCAAAATAGCAAACTATAAAAGTTTCCCCACCTCATCTTCTGCCTGCTCTCCTCACAACTGTGTTTTCCACATGGAACAAGATGTCACTCATATATGCCAATGGATGTCATGGACAAACAAGGAACACGGAAAGCTCAGAACTTCTCGATGTTCATTGGCACTAGAACATAGTGATATACTTGCTATTTTTCAGAGGTGGGATCTTGTGAATGAGACCACAATTTGGCACAGAAAGTAGTCATTGCCACTAAATTATTCACTTGAGATGGAAACTTGTATTCTGGTGACTGGAAATATTCCAGTGTTGCTTTGAGCAAAAGGGACAATGACCACATACCATGAAGCTCCATGTGATGGCTTTTTTGATATGTCAGCTTGGCTAGGTGACAACCCACAGTTATTAAATCAGACACTAATCTAATTGTTGCTGTAACGAAATTTTGCAGAAGTAAGTAAAGTTCCTAATCATTTGACTCTAGGTAAAGAAGATCATCTTGAATAATCTGGGTGAACCTGACTTGATTAGTTTGAAGGCCCTAAAAGCAGGGCTGAGGCTTCCCTAAAAGAGAGAAGAAATTCTGCCTGTGAAGAACAGCTTCAGCTCATGCTGTGGAATTCCAGTGTTTCTATGATTTTCCCTTTCTGACTGCCTGGCCTGTAGATTTACCTGCTTAGTCAGTCCCCAGAATTGCGTAAGCCAATTCTGGTGTATCAGTTTGTTAGGGCTGCCATGACAAAGTATCACAAACTAGGTGGCTTAGAACAACAGAAATTTATTGTCTCATAATTCTGGAGGCTAGAAGTCCAAGATCAAGGTGTCGGCAGGGTTGACTCTGTCTGAGGGCTCTGATGAGGAGTCTGCTCCAAGCCTCTCCTCTAGCTTCTGGTGGTTTACTGGCAGTTACTGGTGCCCCTTGGCCTGTAGATGATGTATTGCCCCAACCTCTGCCTTCATCATTACACAATCTTCTCCCTGTGTGTGTTTGTCTCTCTGCTTCCAATTTTCTCCTTTCAATAAGGACACTAGTCATATTGGATTAGGGCCCAGGCTAATAACCTCATTTTAACTGATTAACTCTGTAACAACCCTGTCTCTAAATAAGGTCACATTCTGGGGTACTGGAGGTTAGGACTCCAGTATATTTTAGAGGAAGATGTAATTAAATCTATATCACCTGCTTCTCCAGTTGAACCCTGGATTATACTCTGTGTGTATCACTTGGTACCCAAAACAGCTTACCAGATACATTGGTTTGTCCATTTGGCACATCTCATGTCTCCAGAAACATTGATTCATCCTCTGATACGGAGATGTTTAAATCTGGGTATATTGGGTATAAGTATGATACAATTATCAGCTCCCACAAAGATGGCCAGGGTTGAAGATTTATCAGAAAATGATTTATGATGCTATTGTTAGAATTCTGGGGCACCTCAGTCAGCTAGACTCTGTAGGTATTTCAAATGAAGAGTGGGGCATTTGAACTATAACTTGGCTTTGCCATCTGCAGCTGCTTAATACTGACAAGAATGAACAACTTGGAAAGCAGGTAACTGACTTTGTGGGGTTTGGAAGGAAGAATCATGGGTGTGAGAATGTGTAAGGAAGCTGGTTAGGTAGTTCAGATGTCCAGGGTCTGGAACTGGTGAAGATACTTCATATTTCTATGTCTCTGTTATGTATTACACACTTGCTTGTGGCCAAGTGTATCTTATTTGATTTAATCCTCACTGCATTCTTATTAGGGATGCATTGTTTTCCCTTAGTAGGGTTGAAATAAATGAGTCTTAGATGTCTCTTTCTTAAGATTACACATCTAGTAATGATCGGCCAGGATTCAGACATACATTCACTCGTTCTTTGTGAACTCCATATATGTGAATTCACCTACTCACTAAAAATTATTTACAGCTCCAGAAGTGATACTTATGTTGTTCTCAGGATCATTCATAGGCTTGTGAAGAGTGACAAAAAATACACGTTGTTAGACACACATGTTTCCAGATGAGGTAAAACAAGGCAATGTTTTGCCTTTTTGCTTCAGCCCTCATCCTATAAACAAGTGTCCTTTTCATGGTCTATTTAGTAGCACTTTTTTTTTTCAAGTCTGTTCTTTTTATTGGTGACCTCGATGTTTAAAATGGCCCCAAGCATAGTGCTGAAGTGCCATCTAGTGTTCCTAAGTGCAAAAGTCTGTGATGTGCCTCACATAGAAAACACACATGTTAGATCTAAGCTTTGTTCAGACATGAGTCACAGTGCTGTTGATCATGAATTTAATGGCCATGAATTCATTGTTATGAACCAACAATATATATTAAATAAGATGTCTTTAAACAGAAACACACATAAAACAAGTTTATGTACTGATCAGCTGATGAAAATGTACCTTGCAGGCACCTAACCCTGTACATTTCCTAGGAGTGATGGCTGAGTATTCTCTTGTTCAGTGTCCATGGTGGCTTGATAGGATGTAATTATTGAAGATAGTGAGAATTGACTGTCTCCGTGTTGGGCTCTAAAGACTGCCCTCTAATTCATATCACAAGGATTAGAACTGGGAACCAAAGAGTTGGTGACTCTATCTTCTTACCTGCTTTAGGAATGAAGGAGACTGTAGCCTGAAAGCCCCTGAAGGTCCTATTTTCATCCGATTGGAAGCTGATGAGCATGATGCTGGAGGGGCTCAGCACAGGGGTGGGGACATCATAGCCACACACCCGAGCTTGTTGAAGGCCAGCCCAGGCAAGACATTGTCCAGCACCCAGCAGATATCCATGGCATTGGAGAGAAGAAAAAAGAAAATTGTCCTTTAGGTAATTGTTGAGAAATACGCTTTTCACAATTCATTTTCAAAATGAAGGCGGCTCACTCCTTAAACAGGTAATTAACACCAAGACATTTCAATTTGGTTTTCTCTCCCGAACACTCCCATACTCAATGATGTTAAGGGAACTGGTTCTAGCCTCAGGACTTGTTTCAATGGAACTTCCCCCTTCTGACTCCTAGTTTCCTCATGGGCCTTTCACATTTCTGTTTCAGTGGTTCTTTGATTCTCCCTCTTTCTATTCCTGCCCCCATAATGAAGAACACAAAAGAGTGATGGTGAGACCACAGGGAGGGGTGGAGGTGGTGCAGGAAGATGAAGGAAGATTGATCCGTCTCCTTTTCGTTCCCATCTCAAGACTGGGTCCAAACGCAAACCAGAGCGAGCTGAGGCTCAGGGGCCACAAACCTAACCTATTTCCTTCTTCCTTTCTACATCACTGTGCACTGTCACATAGTCGGAAGTGCAGTCTCCACTTTCTTCTATTTCCAGACTCTGAAATGAAAGCTGAGAAGACGCGAAGTTACATGCAGAGTAAACAATCTGAATGAATTACTTGACTTTGATTCAGCAGAGAAATTTGAATTGCTCAACTTGTTCTAGAGTAAGACCTTAGATGAGAAAGTTAATGGGGTATTCAGGAGTGGGTCAGATTACCAACAAAAGGATTCTATATCATAGGCTCTCTAACTTTTTGAAATAGCTACCAGATATGGCCTGAATCAAAGGGCAGGAAACTGTGCAAATATTTTAGCTTCCTAGCGACTCTAAGAGATTAAAAGAGCTACCGCATGGGGATTTTTTTCCCTGGAAGCAACTAGACACTAAACTCAACTAATTGCATATACACAAAACTGCTTCTCTGGACATCTTAGTGTTGTTCACCTGGTTCCTGATGTTTCATCTTGAACTCCTAGTTCTCCTGAATCAAGACTAAAATTTGTTGTGCCCCTTGGAGACCATGTCTTTCTACCCAGCAGGATATATCTGGCTATTCTTCTCACCTACTCTGTCCTGTTGCCACTAAATTTCCATGCCTCACAGCAAAATTCTGATAAGGCACAGATATGAGTGAGTCTAATTGCTGATATAAAACAAAGTAGCATCTGAGCTACTGAAAGCATTTGCATAAGTGGGCTCAGAGTCAAATGTAGCAATCCTCATGAATGTGCATGAAAAAGGAAATCCTTGTATGAGTTAGAGAGAGTTGATTTAGAGTTGATTTAGTTAGAGTTGATACTAAGCTTAAATGTAAACCTCAGCAAAATTCTCAAGTAGATTATTAGGCTATGATGAGTAATGACCTAGAAAACAAAGGTGATCACCTGGAATCAACCTAGGTTCACCAAGAATAAATAATGACAAACTTTTTCTCATAGTTTCTGTAATCGTGATGCTTATTGGTAGCATAATATTTCATTTATCTCTATCCTTGACACCTGTATTTTTTGCTATCTTAAAAACTTGGCAGTGAATATCTTTATGCATTTACTTTTTTTCTTCTCTTGTATAATTCCCTGCATGGGACACTTGTTTTGTGTCAGGAAAAGGGAGAACTATCTAGACAGAAGGAACAGTGTGAAGGAGAAACAAAGAAACAATGAAGAGTGATTTTGGAGCAGCTTAGTGAGCACTAGCCAATTGAATTTGAAGTGAAGAGTGCTGGGAGAGAGGGCAGATGAAATAGGAGTTCCAGTTTTAACACACAGCTTGGTGGGGATTCAATGGGACCCGGACTCTGAGTGAGATGCAGAAAGGACTGTGTGGATAAAACAAAACTGGAGGCAAATAATTACTAATGGTGAAGGTAGGCTTGGGGAGGGGGACATGTATCAGAAATAGGATTCATTCAAACATTTATTAAACCCTTACTGGGATACTTTCTGGGAAGGGGCCCTTTTCTCTCCAAGTCAAATGATGAGCATATTGCTATGACTTGTAACACCAATTTCCAAATTACTGTCTTAGATGAGTTCTGCAAAATGACGCTGTCACTGGCAGGGTATGAGAACATCACTTCACTGATGCACAACACTCAACCTTTATTTATTGAAGAGATATTTTTCAATCACTTCTGGCTCTGGCATTTTCAGATTTTCAACTAAATTTCCTCTTCTTCCTCCACCTGGAAACATGCTCACAACCTAAATTTTATCCTCCATCACTAACAAATTTTCCTTAATTCTGCTGAAATTTTTGTCCCAACTCTGTTTAGGTTTGAGGAACTTTTAGAAAGAAATCTATACCAACTGCCTCCATATCATCTTTCCCCACTCATTCATAAAACCTGTGTGATCTTCTTTCTGCCATTAACATCTGACTTAACATGATATTTCAGATACCACCAATCCAAACTCCTCTCAATTGTTCAATTTCCAGTCTAATTATTCTCCCTTTTTATGGAGGTGTGTGGTGGGGACTGGACACCTTAGTTCTCATCTGTTTAAGTTCTAACTTAGTGTGGTATCCAAATGATTGGTCACATCTTTTTGTTTGGTTTGTGTTTTAAGTTAAAGGCTGCATTCTCCAGGCTGTCACAAGAACACACCAATTTGGTTCTCCCACATCTCAGAGCTCTTTCCATCTCTTAAGTACATGAGAACGCTGGGGTCTCATCATCCCTCACTCCTCTCCCCTTTATTTTCTACTCTCCTTTCTCTCCATCTTACACTGTCTTGTTTTCAATTATTATTTTAAGAGGAAGACCTGTAAGAAAACGCCTCATTCCAATCTCACCCTGACTGCAGTCTTTCTTCTACCTCCCTGATGATATCTCTCTGCAGATGATCCATTAGTGTTTAATGGACAAACAAGTAACCACAAACACTGCTAATCAAATGTGGAATAAACTCCATTTGCAGACGTTCAAAGGCCTCCATACATTGACTCCCACCTTGCCTTCCACCGCCCACTCCAGGACACCTTAAGACCCTCTTAAACCAGCGATTCCCTGAGCCTGATCTGCACTGGTTCCTCTAGGCTTGCTCTGTCCTCTCTGCTTGAAAGGCTTGGTGATTTTGGCCTGATTGTCCTTGACTTTTGTTATCTATAACTTACAATGTGTTTGTGAGCAGTTTAATAAAAAAGGAAGAAATGCTTGTTTCTGGAATAGACTAAGAAAGTCACCAACACAAAGATTTCTTTTTTTTTTTTTTTTTTTAAGAGTTTCACTCTTGTAGCCCAGGCTGGAGTGCAGTGGCACAATCTCGGCTCACTGCAACCTCCGTCTCCCAGGTTCAAGCAATTCTCCTGCCTCAGCCTCCCGAGTAGCTGGGACTACAGGTGCCCGCCACTGTGCCCGGCTAATTCAATGCAAAGACTAAAGCAGCACTTTTTTTTTTTTTTTTAAACAAAAAGTAAAGAGCACAGTGTCATCTAGTGGAAAAATGTGTAGTTGCAGGGGAAACTGGGCGGATCCATCATTCAGCAAGTATTTATTGACAGCTTTGTGTGTCAGGTGCCAGGTTCTAGGTACTGCAAATACAGCAGTGAATAAATCAGATAAAACCTCTGACCTCATGGTGCTTATGTTAGCTGTTTTGTGAATTTACCATAGCTAAGTAAGTACAGCCAAAGTCAATACCTTAATTAGGTGATGTTTGGGAGCTTGAAAAATCCAGTCACAGTTAGCCATGTCACTGTAGTTTTCAGGATAGTTTAGACTCTGTATGAGGCCTTCTTCAAAAAGGACAGTTAAGTAACTGCAACCTGAATCTGAAACATAAGAAAAAGTCCAAACAGATGGCACCATTCAAATAAAGAAGAATTCTCACTGCTCTCCCTCCTGTCTCCTGAAAATGATGCATACCAATTGCATTTTCAGACACTGCCAACAAGAAAAGAGATAGTGCCTGATTCTCCAGAACTCTTCAGGCCCTCTCGACTCACTTGGATGGCAATCACTACGAGCTAGCAGGGTGAACTCAGGGTTGAGGGGCAGACTGCCCCCTGTTCCCTAGTTGGCCTGTGTCCCTCTCCCATGTGGAGCCAGCTGAGCCTTGGGAGAGGCATCCGTGCCTCTCACCTAATTCCTATGGGGCCTAAGCTTCTACAGAAGGTGGGGATAGTACGTAGTTAAAAGTAAATGGTTTTACCAGGAATGTAGTTTGGTTTAAGAGCTTTATAGGTAAGATTAAACCCAGCTGCATAATCTGTGGCATCAGAGACGAATTTCAGCCTTAGAGAATTAGAGCCAACAAGAATGGATGAAGGGAGGCTTTCTGCACAAAATTTTCCTACAGGATGAGAAAAAAAGATTCTTTGTTCAGAATCTAGAAAATAGTCCCCCTTCAGTGATTTAAGAAGAACTGAATTTGCCGTGATATTTCAGGAGTCCAATCCTAAGTTTCTCAGTCTTGTCACAGTTGACATTTGAGCCAGAACCTTCTTTGTGTTCTTACTATCCTGCATCTTTTGTAGGATATTTGGTACCATTCCTGGCCTCTACCAGTGACAATTCCTGCACTTGTGACAACTGAAAAATGCTTCTCAGTCATTGCCAAATGTGTCCATCACCTCCAGCTGAGAAACCACAGCAACGCCATTCCATTTCTGTTTCTTATAAGTAATCTGTCTCCTTCTCATGGTTGTCTATTTGTATTTCCCTTCTTAGCTTGATGAGGCAGGGAAAGGTCATTTTCACAGCTAGGAAAGCAGTGACCTGTCTGGAGATCCTGAGAGGCCCTGACTATATCTAGAGTTTATTCCTCATGGACACCAGGTCTGGCAAATGAGCCTAGGAAGCCTGGTTTGATGGGAAGCAGATTTGCCCTGTGACCTTGCAGCCATCACCCAGGCTCAGATTTGGTTCCTTCCCACTCCCAATTCTGAGTCTCAAAGCTGAAGTCAGACAGTGCGGCATTTACAGATGGCTCAGTGCCAGACATAAGATAACGAGGCCTCATTAAGCCCACTTGGCACCAGTTTCCATTTGACACTGTGAAAATCCACTCACCGATGGGTCTGTCTTCTAAAGAATACATTGACAAGTAATTGTGGTGACAAGACTCAACATCTAGGTGGGAAAAACTGAGCAACACATGCATTTTCTCTGGTACCAGCAGGGTCCAGACACACCATCTGTAGGCAGATCATGGAGAGGGTGTTATTTCTAGACAGAAAATGACTATCACAGTCCAATTAGTGGGCACAGCCAGACTGGAGGTGGGAGTAAGGAGGAGGAGTACAAAGGGGGTTACTCACTGTTTGCTCTCATAATATAGGTGGAGGCTTTCTGGGAAGTGCAGCTCCCCCTCAGCCCCGCTGACTGTGACATCCTGCTCACTGCACCTGGCTGGGAGGAAAAGCCAGGAGAGTCAGGGTTAGCTGTGCCAGCTAACCACAACAGCCCCTCCCTCTAGAAGCTGCAAACACCATAGCCTCCTGGTTCTTCTTGATGTACTCTTTGTTCTTCATGAAATCTTCTCCTGTCTTTGCTTCTATGATGCCTTTTTGATTCCTTTTAGATCCTGCTTAACCTTGAAATTCTATGATTGGTTTTCTTTCCTTAACTCTTCTTTCTTTTTATTTTATTTTTGAGGCAGGGCCTCAGTCTCTCACCCAGGGTGGAGTGCAGTGGCACGATCACAGCTCACTGCAACCTCAACCTCAGGCAGTCCTCCTGCTTCAGCTTCTCGAGTAGCTGAGACCACAGACTCACACCACCACACCCGGCTAATTTTTTTGAAGAAATTATTCGTGAGACGGAGTCTCACTTTGTTGCCTAGGCTGGGTCTTGAACTCCTGGACTCAAGCGATCCTCCCACCTGGGCCTCCCAAATTGCTGTGATTACAGGCATGAGCCACCTCTGGCCCTTTACTCTTCTTTTGCTGACCTCATGCTTTATTCTATAAGTGCAGGTATTTCCCAGGTTCTAGCCTTCATCCTCATATGCTCTCACTCTATGATCCCTTGGACCAGTTTCATTCATACACTCCGTTTCAGATGTCATCTCTACATTTCTGAACTTCAGACCTGATTTTTTATGACGGTTTCTTAGATGTCTCCCTCAGAACTCAATATGCTACAAATAGAATTCCTTGGGTCAGCAAAACTGCCCCCACTTCTGATTTTATTGTTGTGCACCCTTTTCTTAGTCTCTAGTGCTCAAAACTTTGATACTATCTTCTCCTCCTCCTTCTTCCTTACAACCTTTCATCTAATTGGCTCCCAATCCTCATTTCTTGTTTCTATTCCTTCCTTTTCATTCTGTGGACATTGCCTTGGTTCAAGCCTTCATTTGTTGTCTCTCAAACTAATGCAGAATTTCATACGTCCATGCATTCGTCCCCTCACAACCCATCCCCTACATGCTGTTCTTATGCTATTATAGTTCAAATCTGCTTATCTAATTAATCAGCTTTCTATTACTCAATCATATCCAAACTTTTTTGGCTGGCATTTTAAGTTTCCATAGTTTGATCTCAAGTTATGTTTCTATTCTTCTCCCTTATAAATCCTCATCACATGCCCTATGCTTTTGTTGCTTTAGCTGATTTATGCCCTATATTTTTTTGTCTTCATCCTTAAGATCCTTCCTTTAATAAGGATGATTACTTGAGCTGGAATATTTTTCTTTACCCATATTCCATTTCCACTTGACAAAATCCTACTCCTCCTTCAAGGTGCAGCTTCAAAGATGTCTGTGCATCAGAGCTCCCCTGTGAGTTT